GGCAGACGCCTAACGACTGAGCCACCCAGACGCCCCAGCAGTAGGGATGTTTGAACCAGGCAGACCTGTGTGCATACTTCCTTGCTGACACCTGCTAACTTCCTGCAAGTTAGTCACCTCTTTGAGCTTCTGTTTCCTTATCTGTAAAAGGGGGATAACTTCTGTAAGGTTGTTTTAGGGTTAAATGTTTTTATTCTTTCATTCAATACATGTCTATTAAGCACCTTGTATGTATACTTTACTAGGTGCTAGGGATGCAGCAGTGAACAAGACACACAAGGTTCCTGCTCTCCTAGAGCCTGTATTCTTCTAGGACACAGGTTGGCAAAGTCTTTATTTTAGGCTTTGTGAGCCATCTGGTCTGTGCAACTTTGCTCAACTCTGCTTGTGTCGTGAGAAAGCAACTACAGACAGTAGATAAATGAATGTGTGTGGCTGTGATTCCAATAACATTTTATTTGTAAAAATAGGTGGCTGGCCTGTGGGCCATAGATGGCTGCCTCCTGTTCTAAGACAGTAAAAAAACAAATCAGTCAATCAAATTGTGAAGAAAAAAATGGGACAATGAGACAAAGTAGCTCCCTTGTCTGGATTCTCTAGGTGGAGAGACCAGGGGAAGGGCTTTTGAAGTTGGTGCTCTTTGAGCTGAGATGTGCCTGGTGGGAGGAGCACTGGGCAGAGGACGCTGCTAGTGACTGGCCTGGTGTGAGGAGCAGCCTGGAGGGCGCCCCCAGCAGGCGGCCGTGGGGAGGGGATGAAGTGCAGCTAGGCTGTGTGACCTTGTATTGGCTCAGTGTTAATAGTCCCTATTGGCCCCTTTGAGGGCTGCAGAGAGCTGCGCACGTATATGGCAGTGGGAATGTGAGTTCCCTGAACGTGGAGTTGGAGAACTAAGATTCAGGTTCTAGCTCTGCTGGTGAATCTATGATTTTGACTTTTAGTCTCACATCTCCGTATCTCCCTCCATAAGATGAAAGAATGAAATTAAGGCCCATTGCATTGTAATTCTGTGACTTAAAAACAGATTTTATTTTGGTCCTTAGCCTAGTGCTTTGGATCTTTAGCTCTTTACCCTTTGAAATTAGCTACTTGTAAATGTTTAGCTGCAATTGATATGCTGTGAATATATGCTCATACACGCGCTAGAATAATGATAATAAGAGCTAGTGTTTATTATCTGCTGTATGCCGGGCACTTGGCTCTGCAGGAATGGCAGCTGTCTGAGGAAGTTATGTTTATCTTTCTCTGTCAGTGACCAGTAAGTCATTTCTATAGATATTTTCCCTTCTTACCCCCTGATCTCCCCCCACCCCAATCATCAGTTTAACTGATGGTTACTATTTTTCTAACCTAAGGGTGGGCTCTTCGTGTGACTTTGAAGTGATATTCTGTACATGGGAACAAAAAGGACTTCAATAAATGGATGCTCTGGCTCCAGGAGCCACGTCCAAAGAGCTGGTGGCTGTTAGACAACGTGTGTGCATGCAAGTACTTGTAAATTACAAATGTTTATTTTAGTGGGCTTTTGTCTAAAACTTTATGATGCTATGGAAAGTTTTACATTTCTGTTGGTTTTACAGCATCTCGGTGGGGTACAAGGAAATCCTGAGGTCTTCCTTGTGCCTTGAAAACTTTTTACATATGTAGATAAGAATTTCCTCTAAGAGAATTTTTCCTGTGTTTCCAGCTTTTGCTCAGACTGTGGAATTGTGTTTTGCCATGGTCTGAAGTGAGAAGGATGTTTGCTCCACTGACTAGATTGGCCGTACATATTAAGAAACGGACCTCAGAGAATCACTTTTATACGTCTTCAAGGGGTGCGTTTGTCTTTCCTCCAGGGCCGGTTCTCCTCTGGCATGCTGAACGGCAGGTATGTCTGGACGAACATCCCTGTGAGTTTCCCGAAGAATGGCTGGGCTGCCATTGGAACGCACTCCTTTGAATTTGCACAGTTTGACAACTTTCATGTGGAAGCCACAAGCTAATATTCACGGAGCACCATAGAACCACTCTCTGGGTTTTCTTTCTTTCTGGTTTTGGTTGAGAGCCAGTTCTTTTGATGGATCAATATATGAGCCTCTTGGAGGCTAACAATAGTGAAGAGTAAATGGGGAGAGAAATACATGTTTGCTTGATCTTCTGGAAGATATTTTTAGAACTAGTGCCCAGGGAAACCGATGAATCTTGAACATGACCTGATATGTCCCCTAAAATTCAAGCTGTGCAGCGGTCCTCTTGTGAGGCGTGGTTTGGGTGGTTCACACCTCGAAGCCTTGGCACTGATGCTGAGCTGGCTTTCTCCATCGCACGCACAAGGGATCGTGTGGACGGCAGTAACCCGATCATCACAGACCGACTGTGTGTCTGAGTGAGTGGATGGCCTCGTCCGGAGGTCACACCACACCGTAGGGAGCTGAAGAACACTGGAAGTGCTGCTTTTTGAAAACCACTTCAACACATTAGTCTTAACACTCTAAAGAGTATTTTTTCTTTTCCTTTTTACGATGATGCTTTTGAATTATAGATATGATGAGTGGATGTGTCGTGATTGCAAAAATGCCTCACTAATAAACTACCTCTAAAGCTAGTCCTGCAGTAATCGATATGAGCAGATTAATTGGGTTATCTGCAGTTATTAATTCTTTTAAATCCAACCTTTAGTCTTGTAACCCTTAAGACTCTCTGTGAACATTTCCCCAGGTGGCTGGAAGGAGGAAGAAAATCCCACATAGCCAGTGCTTTCCGTGGGTCTACAGATGAAGCTGGAGCAATTTTCTTGTGTCTCATGTCATGGTGCCTCTCGCGGCCTTCTTGTGTGCTGCTGGCCATGGACTAACACAGCTAATGCATTCTCTTATCTTTGTGTGTGGAAGAAGGGGCACACTAAGCTTCTGCTAGCTCATAGAATTGGATCATCCTTTAATATTCAGTGTGGTTAGATGCATTTATTTCATGAAAGTACAAATGTGTTTATATTTGAGTGTGGGGAGCATATTTCTCATGCAGTATAATTTATATCTAAGCATTAGTGGACCTCCTAGAAACAACTCCATTGTTCATGTCGATAAAGTAAATTCTGGAATTCTCTAAAATGAAAGTTCAAAACTTCACTGGACTAATATTAGAATTTTGGTATTTGTAATGGTTTAACATAGGCTAAACTGAATGAAGTTTTGTATGTCTATTAAAGACAAAAAGCTCAATATTATAATATATCAGATTATAGAGAAAATTTTTTAATTAAAACCAAGTCTAAGTGATTTCCACATCAGGTCTCTACAGATTTTTTAAGTTAGCTTTATTGTGGTATAATTTACATACAATAAAATGTTCCCATTTTAAGTATACAGTTAAATGAGTCTTGATAAATGGATACACGCACAAAACCAACACCCCAACCAAGCTATGAACATTTCCATTACCCCAGAAAGTTCTCGTGTTGCACCTGAGCAATAATGTCTTCTCACCTGCCCCCATCTCAGATTTCTGTTGCTACTGATAAGTTTTCATTGTTCCAAAACATTATAGAAGTGGCGTCATACACTATGTACTCTTTTGTGAATGGTTTCTTTCATTCAGCATAATGCTTTTGAGATTTGTCTGTGTTACTATGTATATCAATGGTTTGCTCCTTATTTCAAAGAATATTCCATTGTATGATTAAACCACAATTTGTCATTCTCTTCCCTCACTTTTTGGAATTCCAAATCTGTTATGAACATTTGTGTACAAGTCTTTGTGTGGACATATGTTATCATTTCTTTTTTTTAAAGATTTATTTATTTTAGAGAGAGCAGGGGAAGGAGCAGAGGGAGAGTGAAAGAGAATCTCAAGCAGACTCCCCGCTGAGTCTGGAGCCTGACTCAGGGCTCGATCTCAGGACCCCAATGTCATGACCTGAGCTAAAATCAAGAGTCGGACACTTAACCAACTGCACCACCCAGGTGTCCCTGTTTTCATTTAATACCAAAGAGTGAAACTGTTGGCTGTTTTGGGAAGTGTATGTATAAGTGTATAACTTTATAAGAAACTGCCAAACTGTTTTCCAAAATGATTGTATGATTTTACACCCCGATCAGAAGTGTTTGAGAGTTCCAGTTGCTCCACATTCTTTTCAATGCTTCATATTGTTATTCTTTCCAATTTTAGGTGTGTGGATGTGTAGTAGGCACATGAGATGTTGAGCATCTTTTCATGGGCTCAGTCATTACTCATATATTTTGTGAAATGTCTATTCAGATCTTTTGCTCATTTAAAAAATTGGCTTTTCTGTCTTATTATTGAGTTGTAAGAGCTTTTTTATATATTTCAGATTCATTTTTTAAAGAGATTTTGTTTATTAATTTGAAAGAGAACACATGAGTAAGGGGGAGGGGAGAAGAAGAGGTAAAGAATCCTAAGCATACTCTGTGCTGAGTATGGAGTCCGATGCGGGGCTCGATGTCATGACCCTGAAATCATGACCTGAGTCGATACCAAGAGTCGGAGGCTTAACCGACTGAGCCACCTGGGCGCCCCCAGATGAAATTTTTTAAATCAGATAGATGTTTTATAAATAGTTTTCTCCAAGTCTACAAGAATACAAAATTTTAATTTGGAAGCGCATTTTATATTTTTTTCCTTTTATAAAAGTAAGTTTTTTTTTTTTTTTGGTGTCCTAAGAAATCTTTGTCTATCCCAAATTCACAAGGATCTTATTCTTTGTTTTATTCTAGAAGTGTTATATTTTAGCTTTTTTTTTTTTATTCTTATGTTAATCCCCATACATTACATCATTAGTTCTAGATGAAGTGTTCCATGATTCATTGTTTGTGCTTA